TACCACTTTATTCCTTCTTGCTGTAAATGACATAGTCTCAGTCCTACCACCAGGAGCCCGAGCATCACTATATGTTGATGACTTAACCATCTATGCATCTGGCACATCCATACCAGATCTCTGTCAATTCCTTCAGTCTGCAATAACATCAGTAACTTCTTGGGCCACCAACCATGGCTTTCGCTTCTCTACCTGTAAATCTTTCCCCATCCTTTTCTCTCGCTCACGTACGATCCCCAAATCTCCACTCTTCTTATATAATGCTCCACTCCAATACCGTTCTGGCAAATTCCTAGGCGTTATATTTGATTCCAAATTGTCCTGGCGAGACCATATCTTGTACATCAAAAAAAAAGCTCAACGTCGCCTCGAATCTTACAAACTCTTTCACATATCTCCTGGGGCTCAGATCGCAAAACTCTCCTCCATCTTCATGTTACCTTGATTCTCTCCACTCTAGATTATGGATGCCATATCTACTCCTCTGCCTCAACCTCTCTTCTTGCTCACCTTGATACAATCCACCACAGCGGTCTCCGCTTAGCCCTAGGCGCCTTCCGCTCCTCTTCAGTTGAGAGCCTATATACTGAATCAGGCATGCCGTCCCTCTCTCGACGTCGAGCCCTTCTCGGTCTCCGATGCTATGCTCGATTTCACCAATTTTCCCTTACCAAACTATTCCACAATCCTTACTTCATACCTTTATCTCTTCTCCACGTTTACCAACTCCTCTCCCCGTACGCATGGATACCCTCCTCTCCCATTCTCCCTTCCCTCATCTCCGACCTCTCCCACTGTCTGTCCATTCCATTCCTCCATGGCTTATACCTAACCCCTGTATTTGCTCCTCAGTTTTCCCTGACCCACCAAAATCAGATATTCCCCCCTCTATCCTTCTCACTCATTTCCTTGACCATGTCTCCATTCATTCCTCCAGCATTCATGTTTACACTGACGGTTCCAAATCCATCTTAGGAGCTGGATTCGCAGTAACATTCCCAAATTGCACTTTCAAATGCACCCTCCCTCCTGAATCTAGTGTCCTTACTACAGAACTATATGCACTCCTTTTTGCCTTAAGACGCATATACTCATCCACCTCTTCCTCTTTTACTATTTTTACTGACTCCCGTAACTCTTTAACCCTCATAAAGCCTATGCACTCGACCAATCCCCTTGTCTGTAAGATCCAGAACTGGTTGTTCTATCTATCCACACGTCACAAATCTGTCAGATTTTGCTGGGTACCCAGCCATGTTGGAATCCCTGGCAATGAACAGGCAGATACTCTTGCACGATATGCCGCAATGTCCACATCACCTTCTTGTATACCCGATGGCAATCTTTTTGGTCAAGACTCCACAACAATAAATTACATACCGTAAAACCATCAATCTCCTCTTGGTCAGCTCCATATCACAAAAACAGACGTTGGGAGACGGCCCTCGCACGATTACGTATTGGCCACACTCGCCTAACACATGCTTATCTGATGTCATGCTCAGACCCGCCCCTATGTCCTCTATGTAACATCCCTCTTTCAGTCCCACACATTCTCTTGTCCTGTCCACGCTTTAATACAGCACGTACCTCTGCTTTTCCACACCTATCCTCCCTTCACCGACCTCCCAACATATCAGACATCCTTACAGAATCCCACAGCTTCTGCCTCGACAACCTGTTCTCCTTCCTCAGACGCATGAATATCCTTCACTTGATCTAACTCCCTTACCTAAACCACCATAATCTTTTCCCTCATCTTCAACCTTTCAACACTATTCTAGGTAGTTGACACATAGCAACTATCACCTGACATCCCCCTTTACTATACCTTCCTATAGTGCTATATGACCTTAGATGTCTAGCACATTTATCTTAACCATTAACCATTAACTAATTTTGCTTGGTCCTTCTCTTCTTTCCTCTTCTGTATCTTCTTTATTCCCTTCTATCCCATTCCTAAGGTGTGAGAGTCGTGCTGAAAGGAAAGGCTGGCTTTGTGCCAGTCACAAACGGCCTCCGGGAGCCATGGGCACGGTGTTCTCTTGGTTAATTACCTAGCCCTTACCCCTTATGGGGACCTTAAGGGGTAGACCGTTTCTTTTTCCCAGTTTATTCAGGATCACCATGGCCAGTAATGAAGATTCTTTACCCTTAATAGAGGCATTAAGGCTTGCCCCTTTATCAGATAGCCTATCTGAATTTGATTTTGATGGTTTTCCAACCCCTGCCCCTCCTTTGACCACGGCTCCGACCACTGATGCTAATACCCCCTCTTCGACACATTAACAACTCTAAGCATTCTGAAACACCCACCCAGTTTATTACTCAACCCCTAGAAAACACCTCTTCCTCATCCCCAAACATTCTCTTCTTTATCCCCTACTGCACAACCCTTTTCAGTGTTTACCTCCCCTTCCCTTATTACTACTCTTCATCCTTATTGCCCCCCCCTACTCCACTCCACACCACCCCATCTTCCTTTCGCCCTCGTCCTTCTACTAGCTCTACCTCTTCAAACCTTCGGAGTACTCTATTTGGCCCAGCCAAGTGGGATCGATTATTTGTGATTCCCCCCACAGCTCCCTTTTCTGAGAATACCCCTCTCTTTCAGCAGTACCTCCAGAAACAAGTAGGCAAGGTTACCTTTCGCAGTCGCTCTGATCGTTCACGCCTTGTCACAGTTACATCTGAAGCCCAAGCTCATGCACTACCTACCCTAACAGACCTTACTGGCAAACCCATTCCTGCCAAATCTCACCCAACTCTTAATGTGTGTGCTGGAACTGTTTCTATTCCCCCAAATGCTTGTCCCATGTATAACAAGGACTCGTCAGACTGTGAAAATGACACATTTTCCTTCCTTGATGAATATGATGCAGTGGCAGTACAACATTACACTCTTCCTCCTAGAGGCCAACGTAAATCCCACGTCAATATTGCCAAGATTAACTTCCATAGACAAGACCTCCCCCATGAGGTTTATATTGGTGGATTGTCTTATCATGTCCGACAATATAGACCCCTTCCTCGTCAATATCAAATATGTTGGCGTTTTAGCCACCCAGCCAAACATTGTCGATCCACAGCCTGCTGCCCTCTATGTGCCCAACCTGGTCATGACCGTTCAAATCTGCCCCTCTGCCCGTGGCTGTGTAGTATAGTGTTTTTATAGGAGCTGCCCTGCCTATAAGTTTGAATATGAGGGGTAGAGTCCTCAGATTTAAACTAGGCCTCACTCTATGTGAGGCCAGACAGGAAGCACGAGGATGAGGTTTTTCTTTCTCAACTTATTCCGAAACAGTCCTATGCTCTGCTCCCCCACCATCTACACACGATAATTCTGCATCTCCCAAGGTATCTTTTCCCTATACCCAAAACCTACGTCCTATTTCTACTCACCCTATCCTCCAGTCAAATCCATTTTCCATCCTAAATCCAGATACTCCAATCTCTACCACTTCCTGGATATATACCCCTCCTCACTTTAGTTGTCGTACCAAACAACCTAAACGTTCCACTCCACACTCTCCTACTACATTCTCTCCTACATGTTCCTCTTCCTCTGTTCCTCAGATATCCATCTCCTCTTCTCCTCCTTATAAAAGAACCTTTGTTTCTCAGTCCTCTATACCAAATTCCCCTTGAAGACATGCAAAATTTCCTAAAGATGACCCAAGGGAACACTCCGCTTCCTTATCCTCCCCCCAATCCCTCTGTTCTTACTCCTGCTACATTGAAATTATTTGCAGATATTCATCCTCCTCCTTTCCAAGTTCCCTCCACCCCCCTTCCTCCTATACCCCTCAACATACCCCACCCTCCCAACCACTTCCACTTGAATACTCTCACGAATCCACTTTATCACAACAGTGTCCTTCTTCATACCCCTCCTCTCCAGACATTTTTCCTGATGCTTCACCACCTTCCCCAGTCTCCCTCTCTCAACCCCTGGATTCTTCTCCTCCTACTTCTCCAACAGCCACCTCTGTTTTCCTTGATCAATGTCCCTGCTCCTTCCCCAGTCACAGATACACTGCAATTCACTACCCCCTTATATTCCCCCAACCCCTTCCCAAAATACCTCATCCTCTCAACCACCCAAACCAAACCCTCCCCTCCAAAACCCCATCCTTCCCTACTATCCCTCCCACTCCCTCCTGGATACACACATGAATCTCTTTTATCACAATACCCTTCCCCAGACCCCACCGTCCCCATCTAACCCCCAGACACTTCACCTACTCCTAATTCTTTATCTCAACCTTCAGATACCTTATCCCCTACTACTAAGATAACCATATCTACCATTATCACCTATTATCCCTCTTCCTTCCCCAGTCACAGATACAATGCAATTCATTTAATTACTCTACCTTCTTAACCTTTCCCACATTAATCGCTATTCTTCATTTACTTCCTTCCTTTCCCTTTTCATTACCATACTCTTCTACAGCACCCTCTAATCTTTGATATCTAACACCCTCCCCTCTCCCCAGATTCTCTACTCTTCAACAGCTATCTCTATTCTTCCTTGAAGATTTTTCCTATACCTTCCCCTGTGACAGATACAGTGTAATTTACTCAATCGCCCTCCCCTCCGCTTTATACTAATTTTTGCTCCAATTCACTTGCTCCCCTATTCCCCTTCCACATGTAATACATTTTATTGTAATCTTTAACTCTCCTTTGCCTTTTCCGACGCAATACTTTACCATAGTGCTACATGACCTTTGATGTCTAGCACATTTATTTTCAAACATTAATTATTTGCATCAATAAATGTAGGTAAAGGTAGTATGAATTAACACAGACTAGCATCTAAGCAAATAACAGAATAGATGGTCAAAATCCATATTATAGATTTTAGGTGTTATTTTCTTAATTTCATTGTGAAACGTAAAATGATTCCCATAATGTTTACATCTTTTCATATTAAGGGCTACAATTACTGATAAAACTAATTGAAAGTCTGATAAGGTTATAAATCAAAACAAAAATGTTTATGCTTATTCTTTATTTACTCACTGACTAGTGTTAAATAAAATAGAAATTATGATTGTGCAAGAAAATACAAGGATGTTTGATACAATCAATGTTAGGATTATTAAAAATATATAAAGGATTTACAGTATGCAGTAGACATGGTCATTCAATGATATTTCTTAACCAAACATATTTGGTAGCATGAAAGTGATGTAAAAAAATTATTCCAATATACTTTAGATCATAAACAAAAATATTGATGTACTGAATGACAATGCGTGGATCACATCCTATTTATTTACTCAACATTTGATGTTCAGAAGACCTTATGATTTTGAAGTTACTTGACTAGAATACCTGTGAATCTACAATTTATGAAATTGAAAACTATAAAAATCTTTCAATGATAGCAGTATATTGGAATAGAAATGTGGAGATTAAAAGCTGAAATATATAGAGACAGAAGAAAAACCATCATATCTTGCTATACAATACACATACAATATAATCAATTTTTTTTCTTCAAAATTACTGACCTGTTTCTACATTATTATGACATATGGTGTAGAAATACAGGGCGTATTTCCTTGTTAAGTACAGACTTCAATGTAGCCATATTTAGGAATGAATAATCACTTGTACTACCATTATTTATTATGTATACCTGTATTATCCTTGGAATTAAATGATGTGGCCCTAATATTTTTCAACCTTTCACCCACATAACTATCACTAGATAAAATGAAAGTCTGAAATGGAGTATCAACTAGCTGAAAGCTCTTATGATGTGAATGCATCTAGTTGCTGTTCATTATTAAACCAATGTGAAATCACCTTCGTGTTATGTTCTTTGAAGCACATGTTATTAAAGTAAAATATACAAGTCATATATACACCAAATTCTTTTTTTTTTCTTTTTTCTTTTTTGAACTTCTGCAGCTATATGAAGCCTTTCTTTTCTTTTCTCAAACAAAAAGAAAACTAGTTCCACATGAACTGCATACAGAGGCACGTAATTACATGTCTGATGCCATCCTCACTTGACATGACAGATGGAGATGAAGCAGAGAATTTCTAAGGAAAGCTATGCTAGACACAGGGGTTCTTGACCGGTACTTTTACTATGCGTATTTAGCCGGAAATTTCTCTTCGCTCTTTTGCGACCCGAATCATTTTTATTTCATTGAACACTTCTTAAAGAACTATCAATCAACTACTTCCAAGGTTTGGATAAGCCATTGCTTTATCCTTATACATTACGTCCCAAATATATTCCTGCTGATGTTCTTCATTTTTGATAACCTTGGTATAAAAAAAAAAAGAAAAAAAAAAAAAAAAAAAAAAAAAAAAAGAAAAAAAAAAATCCATGTGGCATTTAATACTTATCTCAAAGCACAGACTAAAGACCAAGTCAAGTTGTAGCAAAAGATTTTGTTTCATGGCACAAAGCACTCTGGGCCACACATGATGGCACAAGACATACTGACATAATGTAATGCATTCTATAGTAAATAAATATAAACTTCCTATAATAATATTTCTTAAACAAGGACTAAATTGCTCATACATATAAACATACTTACATACATACAATCAGTGTCTACTAAGGTGTATGTCTATGCACACACTCATATACATATATGTATACACATACATATATACATATTTATAAATTTGTGGGCATGTGTGCGTGGATGTGTGTGTGTGTGTGTGTGTTGGCGTGTTTTGGGCGTAGGTGTGTGTGTGCATGATCATGTGTACACACACACAAACATACACGCTTGTATATACATATCCATGGATGTATATGAACATATACACTACATACACGTGAATATACACAAAGAAATCTAACTGAAAATGTATAGGTAGAATACTAGAAGGGAAAATATGGACATACACTTTACACTAGCCCTAGATAGGACCAGCACAATGCTAGTTTGTCTGCTTCACTTCCAATCAATACAATGCAGAAGGAATGTTTCCAAAAAGAAGGTATACAAAAATACTACAAAAGAATGTCACATGATATGGCATTTTGGAACATCTGTACAAAATGATGTAAGTGGCAGGAGTGAAGCCCTTGCTTTTTACTTGTAACAATTGCCAATATCCTTAAGTACTGCAATCCATGCACAATTTCTGTGCATAAAGCCATATAAAACTCAAGTACCATCAGATGATTCTAGTTTTTAAAAATGTACAACAGTTTCCTTGCGTTGACCAGAGGGCCCACAACCATGTAAGGTATCACTAACGGGCATTTATACATTCAACGTCATCCTAAAACGAATCCAAGTTCTATGGACTGAATGCACTAAATATATATCAAGGCAAGTCATCTACAATAGATCTTACCTCAACTCTTATTGCAAAATCCCTGTTCATATACATATTTAAATTACACAGATATTGTACTATATTACATCCAATAACTTAATCTGGAGTTTCATCACCACATTTTGCATTAATTTACTGGTAACCAATGATGGAGGTTTGTTTTTATGTCTAGTATGAACATTATGCTCTGAAGATTGTTACAGTATATCTTGATATGATCTCAATTTTAAAACTGATAGTATGAAATTATAAAACATGTAAGCACACACATACATATACACAGGGTTTTGTTTGTGTTCTATGTATGACTTTATGCACTCACACATGGTTATGGTACATATGCAAAATCATATTAGATTCCACATCTTTTATATACACAGATATACACTAACATACTCATGGATACAAGATAAAAAGTGATCCTTGAATTAAAAATGCTTGCATCATCTAAGCTGTAGTTGATAAATTATTTTCTTCTGGGTGGTACCTTCGTTTGGTCTTGTTTATGCTGTAGATAAAGGTGTATCTTTTGAAAGTTGAAGCTGTATTTCCCTTACACTTGAAATATTCTTTGCATTCCTTTCTCTCTCTCTCGTCCATAAACTGGAATTTCTGTCAGTTTCAGCCTCTATACTTTAGGATGTGTTCTACACAGCACCAACACATGGTAATTTTTGGCACCATGAGAGAAATGTGATGTTGAAAAGCAGTCATATTTGTATAACAAATATTACCCTATAGTGGACTGTTACAGTATATTTCTATATCAAAATCATTCAATGACAGTCTAACATCACTTTTCCCTACTGCATTCTCTTTCGTACAGAAATCCTGCCCTTATCAAAGCACATGCATTCTTCACATATTATACACAAAAGACACTACTAAAACCTACCACATGTTACCCATTCCTTTTATCAACAGATATTAATGGTTTCCATTACTGAATACATGTTTATGAACACACATTAACCATCCTCTATGGCTGAAATGATGTTCATATCTTGCTTACCACACACACAGCTCAAACTCTCTGTATACTGGTTTTATTCTATATCAACAGTAGAAAAAGAGAAAAAAGACAGAGATACTGGACATCCACCTGACTTTTAAGGAAGACCTTTGGATCACAAAGAAGGTCACATCTCTCATGGTACTTCATACAGTATCTCACACTTTCCGGTGAGGATGCTTCAAGATTCTTACTTTCTACATGGTCCTGCAAAACTTTCAATGCTGATATTTCATCATAAACCTGAAAGACACCTATCCTCATCCTTTATGACCAGGATTTGAAATAAATCTTACACTTGAGCATATGCATTGATGAGCTTTTTTAATCGCTCAATTTCCACTTCCATGCAAGCTCGTTTCTTGCGTTCCTCATCTAGGTCACTCATCAACATCTGCATTTTCCGAGAATGTTCCTTCTTCTGCTCCTCCATGCGCTCTTCAATTAGTTTTATCTGTGCCAGGAAAAAAAAGTTATCTAAATTCAATACTAATTACATAAGACAATATACAGTTGGCTCTTAACATTTCTATATTTGGTTATCCACAAGCTAGGCATAATTACAGCAACAAGACATATGAAAATAACAGGGAATTATGATTAAAAATACTGCAAAAAATAAACAGCACTGAATTACCATAATATCACATACATGTAATACCTAACATGGACGGGCATTTATGAAAAGTGTGCACTTGTAAATTTTTAACATTTACATCCAGTTTTGGAGTATAATCTTTCTAAATGTTAGGGCCAACTGTATTATCAAGTAATGATAAAGGATTTCTTGTTTTTGTTTGTGTTTTGTTTTGTGATAATCAACAAATCACAGCCTACACTTAGCAGCAAGACATATAGCATGATTTTTATCATCATACTGATAATGCAAACTATTCAACATATTATACACTACCTTTGGTATTAGATCCTTATACAAAGCATCAATCTTCTCTTCTAAATTACTTGGAGCCTCAGCAGCACTTGGTGCAGTGTGTCCCTTTTTAATCTCTTTGCTAGACTTCTTCGCCTCACTGGCTGGACCTGAAGCTCGCTGATCTGTGACCAAGCCAAGTCTCTTCTCTGGCTGTATGCTCTGGCTGGATAACGGCGTCTGTGGCAGAGGCTTGCTCTTGGTGATGGGGACCTTGCTGTCATAGTCGGGTGTGGGAAGGCGAGGCTCTACAGGTCTCTTGACACTGGAGTTGATGGCTTCGTTCATTGGTAGTGATGGCCGAGGGGGCTTGGGCTTGTCTTCCATTTTATGAGGCAAGACAGCTGGCTTTGGAGAGATTACAGGTGGTGGAGCAGCTGAGGCTTCTCCATCTGGAAGGTGCAAGATTTCCTTACTCTATAATCCATCAATTTGAATAAGATTTTAAGTCTGTCAAAAAAATTATAATAATGGACATCATCATAATAAATATTGTTAAGATAGTACCAAAGGCATGCTCAAACACAAAATTATGGAATACTATAAAAATAATGTCTACTATTGATGATGTTGAATAAAATAGAATAACAATTCCCAAACTGAAGATGAAAAATAACAAAATGAAAGAAAGTGAAAACAGATGAGGAAACAGGAGGCAGAACGAAGAAAAAGGCAAAGGAAATCAATCAATCCATCAGTGGGACTAATGCACGGAAGGCACACTGCTGCATTCACCCTTTGTTTCCAGCAAAAAAGATCTCTCTACTTCTATCATGATATAGCAGGTTGAATTTCCCAAGCTGATTTCATTCTTATCATGAGCCTTTTCCATCCAGAGTTGTTTCATGAGGAGACAACCTCAGGCTTAGGATCATCCTCAAAAGGGCCATACAAAGTTGACGGTCTTGACTTACAGAAGTAACAGATCTGTCACCATTCTCACAATGACATTGTTGGTTGAACAGATGGTCCTGCCAACTGTACGCCAAGATACAGTAATAGGACAAAGTCCAAGTTTCACTGCCTTACAGCAGAACCAGCAGTGTCAGGGCCCTGAAGACAAGTAGCTTGGTACTTTTACACAGGTACCAGAACCTCCAAATACTCTCGTTGAAAGATTTCTTGGCTCCTGTCCCTAGGCCAATCCATCTACTGACAGCCCTGATTTCTCCAAGGAAACTGGAAAGTCCTGGATTTGGTCCTGCTCTAAGAGACCTCTAGACCCAAAGGGCTTTGCCATAATGCTAATTACATTTTCTACTAGCAGCATCTCCATATAAGATGGAAACATCATCAGGAAAGTCAAGGTTGGTGGCCCTCATACTGCCCAGTATTGTCAACAGCCTAACTTATGGTAGTACTATTTGAAAGGTATAGTAAAGCTACATAGTGTGAACCTATGGAGGGATACACCTTTAGTGTTTTACACGGCACTATAGATACTGTCTCAGGAGCAATAGGGTGATAATCTACAGGTCTTGTAAACAAGGAAGCCACTGTGGTCCATACTGCATTAGCAGGGCCAGGAGAGGCCAGGGTGCTTGTGTGGCACTCATGCCGCAGTTCAGTACCAACCATCATCAAATGTAGAAAACCAAATGGACTAATTTTTGGTGGATTGATTATTCCTTATTAAAATGGTACTGAATCCCATGTGACACATATGAAGTGGACTTGACAATGATTTAAGCCTCTTTGTATCTCCACTGGGAGACATTGTACTCTTCAGATGAGAAAATCTTGTATAAGTAACCTTTACTAAATGTGTTTAGCATAACCAATTGAAACAATATGAAATTGGTTGAAGCTTATAAGTGTTCAGTCACACGTAAAATTAGACATACCATTCTTATTGCAACGTAGCCTGCTCTAGATAGTGAACTAGAAATCTGTTAGCCAGTGCTTACACGTGAATATCTACGGTATACATTCAACTTATTATCATCTCTACTCTAGGGAGTGTTCAGAGTGGTAAGAACTAGTAGAGCAGCACTTGTAAGGGTGGAAGATACCAGTATTCCTCCACTTTATTATAGGTGATACCTTTACACATCAAAGGTTGAAAAGTGATGCTGCAAGAACAATCTGTCCCTCACTCCTAAATTCATGGGAAAGAAGCTAAACATACCCACTCCACACTTCACCAAACTTTCAGTTCCAATATACAGGCTTACTATTAATCCAATAACCTTTGCAGAAAAAAAAATCAGTTGGAAAAGAAGTAAAATCACTTAATTTCCTGCTTTGAACAGAAATCTGAAAAAGCTTTCAATAACTCACCTACAATGATACCTGAGAGTCTCTTCTTCTGTTTCAAATGTAGCTCTTGTAGCCATGGGACTGTGCTTCCAGAGTCAGCCTGAGGAGGTGCAACATCTGAGCGCATAGTGGGTTTCTGTGGTGTAGGTGAGATGGCAGGAACACTCGGGCTGCGTGGAAGTTCAGAGTTGCTTACATGCCCGTTTAGCTGGTGACTTGAGTCCTATGTTGGAGATAAACAAGTACCTTCATGAAATATGTATTTGATTAAAAAACAAAGCTGGAGGCAAGTGGAGTGAAATTCAGAAGTAAAAACAAGAAAGGAAGGCTAAACAAATGGCCAAATGAAAAAAGAGAAGACTATGTTGTTTAACAAAAGCTACAATGTATACTCCCTGATCCTAACATATTTGTGAAGTCAGTATCTTTGAGTGAATGATAATAAAAAAAACTCACTACAAGCTTACACACATAGTAGCTGTTACACACTTATATCTCTCCATCTACATAACACAACAGGAAGAAGTACTTATCACTCTCTTCCTACTTCCTATTCCAATCACACCATCTTTTTGGTGCTCTGGGCATTCTTATGAACAACTTGTCAGTTCATAATTTCCTGACTCTACCAACTATCTTTTCCTATTACTACCAACAAGATGAGATAATAAATAAGAGCCTGTTGTGTTTTTATCCTAAAAAGAAAGAAAGAAAAAAAAAGGAAAAACCACAAAGGCATGCACAAAGGAACCGATAAACAACTTTATCACATATTGTCACAGACGTCAGAGATACTCACATCCAAGACATTTGACTCAGAGTAGCGTTTCACTCTCCTCTTCATCTTCTCTAGTATATATTTATATACTTATAATGTATAATAAAAAAATTCTAATAATTATCTAGTTCTGTGGAAAGATTCACACAATGCAGTTGTACTGAAAAGAGTTCAGACACTGATATCAACTCTAAGGCTATACTGCTCATGTTTAGTTTATCTTATCAGAATGATAACATTGAAATTTTGATATGGGTGAAAGCTACCTAAATAATTCTAAATATTACCCGTTCATCTCACTCATGCTTTTGAACTCCTAATACCTCTCTAATTCTTAACAAATTGTTTAACTGTGGATTGTCTTTTTTATCATTATCATTATTAATACACTAAGGTATGTGTAACTGTACATTAAACCAATAAATACATAAAAACAAATAGTATATAGAATACCTACTGCACAATACCTGTTTTACGTGATATCATACTTATGGATATCCTGATCACATATAATCACCTTGTGTCAATTCAAAAAAGAAGAAAAAAATATATGTTTGATAAAAATACTGGATATGTGTCACCCACCTACATGTACACCTACAGCCCTTAACATTTGAACATTTATCTTTTACATCACTCTTATCTTATCATATGCTGGCGTGATTTCTATACAGCAAAGAAAACATTATACCTATTACTCACTCTGCTGGTAGTTATTTGTATTCCCTACAAATTCCCCAAGCTATTTGAACATTCTATCATTACCAAGATATATATCTCACACTAAACAAACATCTGAAAAAGCTTCTGATGCTGGCCAGTGTTGCCCTTTATAAATTCTTTGCTAATATTTGTGCCTGTATATGAGTGAACATCTATAACATATATATTCTAAGAAGAAATAGAGCAGTAAAAATCCTTCACAACTCTATGTACTAACACTAATAACAAACTGAAATATAAGAACTGTCCATAATTAACCATGATGCAACCAAAATGAACTATTGATACTAAACCCTATCACCTTCTATATTAGTGTAAAAAGAAGTTAAATGGGAAAAGAAGAAAAAGTAGACAGAAACTAAGTATCTCCTGAAAGACGATTTTTCGTTGCACAAGAAGATCCGTCAATCTGGCACATATACTGTAACCTGAAAACAATGCCTCTAATCAGAAAGATGCTGCTATATCATGTACAGTCCTTCAGCCACCAACATGCCAAAGCACAAAATACCACTCCCAGCACAGCAGCCCTGGTTGCTTTTCATGCAAATGTCTTTATAAGAGCTGGACAGAAAAGAAGATCGAAAACTGAACATTACCTAGCAGGATATTCATGGTTGAAAAAAAAAAAGGATAAAGAAAATAAATCTCTCATTGCTTATTGCCAAGAAAACTCAGGTTATAATCAGCACCGCACAAAAGCCACTTACGTTATCGAGGTCGTCTTCAGGTGTGGGAGGGAGGTGGGTATCAGAGTCAGCGCTGATTTTCATCTGTGCCACAGAGAGAGAGAGTGTGATATGCGAGGTTAGACTAACAGAACCCCACCACACTGAGGAAGCTAAAGAGTTGGGTGCAATGGTCTGCTATTGGTGCATTATGCAAGGAATGCAACTTAAACTTACAGTATAATTCCATTTATGCAAAATCCTCCTTCATTACATCCAGGCAATAACATCTCCCTTACAATAAATCTGAAGATGAATCTCTTATCATTAAAAATTGACAATTGACAGTACTTTTTTCTCTGATGTTAATTACTAATAAACCCTTTCTATGGTTTGAGAAAACATTGGAAATCTAATTGAAAATTATTTATAAAGACAAATTACACTGGGTGTATGATACTAAATTTTGATCATTTCTTTTGAAATGGAACTCTAATTTTATACAAATACAGGCATATATTAATATATGAACTATTTACAAATTATATTCATATTGCATTAAAAACAATGAAAAAAGTCTAAACCAGTGCATTCACAATAACATTAATGAAAGCAAAAACTAAATAACTGTATTATTCAGTCATGGGTTAAGTATAGTGCACAGCATTCACTGTATGAATAACCTAAAAGAGCCAGGTCACAAATTAATTTGTATAAACAAAATTCTACTGTACCATGTATTATAAAGCTTTCAGAGTACAAGATATCAATTTGATTCTGTCACCGATTCCTTCACTATCAAGGCCATGTAAATCCTCAAAATATCACAAATGCTTTCTATGAAACTTAAATTTTTTTTTTTTATAACTGTCAATTATGAAGAAGATTTCATGTCTTCCATCACAAAATTTCCTTTATTATGTATTAAGTATGAATCTTCTCAACAATCACAATGTTATGCATTATTGCAAACTGGAACTAAAACTGGGAGTCTCAGACCTAAGGACAATCAAATCAAATCAAATCATTTGAAAAAAAAAAAAGAGAAAAAAAAAAAAATGATTACTATGGGAGGGGCTTTCACAAACAGCAAAAAATCACAGAAGCAAAAATTCTCCAAGAAAACATACATGGTGGTCAGTGATGGACTTCATGCTCACACACAAAGCATACTAATCAACAAGCAAAATATATGGGTTATTTGTCGGATTGTCAATTGGGAGAAAAAATGTAAAAGACGTATAAAAGCCTTCTTATTCTTAACATGATGCTCAATTAATTTTCTCTCATTCTGACCGTCATGGCAATAACAGAAGATATTCAAAAAAGAAAGAAAAAAAGATACAATGTATGTACAATAATGGTATACCTATTTCAAAAGAAACTGTTCAGACACATTTCATGCGTAATGAATAAGTCTCTGTGCAGAGAGACTACATCCTTTTAAATAATTAAAATGCATCAATTAAAATGTTTATTGTCTTTCTTGAGCATCATATATTTAATACCATATGTAATAATGATATTTGTTAAGCAAGCACTCATTTCATCGAGTAGACTCATGTCAGTAAATAATGGTTAGGTTGTCAGTTAGTAGCCCTTACACAAACCATGACAATGGATAAATATATTAATATCTATGAAGGTATGATGCTGATCATTATAAGTCGTATGCACTGTCAGGCTCAAGAATAGTGAAATAGTCATGGAAATGATATATCACAAACTTGTATTTTGTTATTCAAATAAGATTATAGTTTGCGTGAAGTGTTCCTTAAAAATACGATCTGCTATGTTAAAATTAAGATAAAACAAATGAGTACCTCTTTATATTCATCAGAAAGGAAAGCATTCCTGATTAAGCTATTATATTTTCTTATGGAAAAAAGCTCCTTAAATTGTAATTTATATATTAAAATATATAGTTTCCTTAAATAATGGAACTTGCTGACTTTATTTTTCTTATGGTATCTAGTTACCTTGTAAGTCAACTTTCCTGATACATGACCTCTTCCACTGACAAATGGTATGAAAGAAATAAAATAAATAAGTATATGAACAAACAAACAAACAAACAAAAAACTTTAAAGAGCTTTTATAATCATCGCATAAGTAAATATGGATCATCAAAACATACTTGCCTGTGTGGGACGTCCTCTAAAAAAAATACCCCGTACACTAAATATAGACCTACATTTTCCTTGAACACCCCCGAGGGAGGCCGTCTCCGCGAAGGACCTTTGGGCCTCAGGTGTGTCACGTGCTTCAGGGGCTCTCCATTTGTATCCAGCGTTAGGCTCAGGTCCTCTGCAATGTGGATGCACATTTGCAATTATTCTTAGGTCTAAAATTGGATATTTTAGTAAGAGGATATGATAAAGACAGACAGGAAAAGAAAGTGGGAAAGCAGCATAGAAAGGAAAAAACAAAAGGAGGAAGTAAGAAAAGATGAAAGAGAGAAAGACAGAGAAAAGATACATACTGTCCGCTGTAGTTGCGCTTCTGAATTTTCTTTACGATTGCTCCGCAAATGCTCAGTCACCAAGGAGGAAAATAGTAGGCCCTACATGACCTCACCTGATTTCCCCATTCCTTGAATTTTCTAGATTTTTTTTCTAATGCTATAAATATTGACACTCTTATCCTTATCATCACTAATACTATGATTATTGTAATATCATTCAAATAATAATAGCAATAACATATTTTTCAAATATTTCTTAAAGTTAAGCAAACAAAAACAGGTCAGACTGGTAGGACTAATAACTGTCTCTTTGGAGCAAAAAACAAAAATCACTGTGGACATAAATAATACACACTGATGAATGAAAGAAAGGAAAAAAGAGGAACTACAGGATAAAATTGATATTTCTCATTGCGCAGGCCTTGAATAATAACATTCACACATCTACACCCGTACATAACTCATATCTCTGATGTAAATAAAAACAACATCAATTACCAAGGAAGCTCACAAACCCACCTCTGACTTCAGATTTCTTCTTCGACCCTTTAGACATCATTAAATCTGATGCGTCCTTTGAGGAACAACTTCCGTCATGGGCATCAGACGAATGCAAAGATGGATGGGGCAGCGGCTTCTTTTCTGGGGGTGGTGGCGGTTGCACTTTTTTCTCAGGCAATGGAGGGGGAGGTTCCTTATCTAGAGGGAACAAGTAGGTGAAAGCTATTAGGAATAGCAGTGGTGAATGGCTTTACCATGTTTGCTTCAATTCCTCCGCAACACGTTTAAGGACAGAGTATGGTGGAATGGAAAAAGCACGGAAATGAAATGGATCTTTTTCTTTTTTCTTTTTTTTTTACATCTTTACATCTCTTATATTTTCTTTAAGTTGTTCCCTTTTCTCTCTTCACAGCAGTGAACAGGAATTTCTATTTATCACAGAGCATTATCTTACCATTATCTCAATATCATGCCTGCTATCAAATTAACATACACCACTAATAAACTGTAATGATTTACTATCACTCTATGTTGGAACCAAACCATATTGTACAAAGAATAAAATTCAAAATAGTTTTCAATCATTGTAAGCTTTGATACCACTCATTTCAAAATGTAAATAACACACTAAGACAGATAATTTTCACTCCACTCACAGGCCACATGTAATACTCTACTGGAAATGATCCACTACTCAATGATTTCATAAGTATTATAATGAAATTGTTCTCAACATCAAAAACATCCTTCCTTTTTCACTGCAGTTGTGGTACTGCTGGACACATCTGCCAGACCTTGCTATTAGTCTGTACACCTGTGGAGCATAATTGGGAGGGGGATAGGAGGGAGGGGGTAAGGGGGAGAAAAGAAAGAAAAAATATATGTTCCAGTTTTACCATACATTCCTATAATTTATTCCTCTCTCAGTCTATTACATATCAAATTTTGAAAAAAAGAAAAAAAGGGAAAAAATACACACACACACACACACATATATATATTTTTTTTTTCTATCTCTTTTTTCATAATCAGTAATTAATTGCATTCCCTCATTACCCCTGATATCACTCTTAATCAACCTAACATCGAGGGACTGGCCTTACAAAACATGGGGAATAAACATATTAAACAAAATTTATATGTGAATATATGGCTTTCTAGCTTGCTTGCTTAATATATTTGTGGGTCTGTGAGTGTTTTTTGTGTGTTTCTTTTTCTATGTGTAGGAGGGAGTATATGTGTATGTGTGAGTTTGCATATGCATCTGGATGGTTTTAGTGATAATTGTAATCCTGTAGAGTCAAACAAAATGAAGCCTAAATCCAAGAAAAATTGAAGGAGAATATTAAGATTATATTTAAGTGTAACTACATGATATCATTTTAAAGAATGATGTTTACAGAATAGGTGAGAATGTGCGTGTTACATTAACTCAGACTGTTAATATGTCCGAGATCAACACTTCAGCAAAATATGTGAAAGCTGTGGCTCAATGTTTGTATACTTCCTACTTCATTTACAGGCTGTGACTGCAAAGCTCACTGTAGATAAAAATGTTAAAAGTAAACCATTTACAATATCGATGAGACTTTCCATTTGACTAAATAGATACTAATGACGCATAAAATTGACAACAAAAGAATAAAAAATCTAGCCTCAAACATCAGCAAAGATGGGCTAATATCTTAAGTCAGCTTTTAATAATGGGTGTTAAAAGATAAGTGAGTTAATGACTAATAATCAACAGTATTTGATATCCTCCCTAGCTCTGTGGAACAATCCTTACCCAGACAGTTTTCAGGATGCCATGTAAGTTTACATATTTGTATTTTAATTTTAGACTTAAAAAAGGATGCATCACATGCAACTATATCATTTGTACTTACACATAACTCATCTCCATCTATAATTGTAAACCCCTTCAAAGCTCCATGAGACAACCCCTCACACAACATGTAAATCTTTTCTAGCAGCGCACACACTGAGCCACAACAAACACATTTCTCAAATTTCCAAATATACTCAAAACCAAATTAATGATGAAATAATTGATAATTATTATGCTACTAACTCTCCAAAGCTGAATATAAACAGGCCACCTACACTTTTCCACTAACACTCTGCAGCAGAGAGAATGGCACCAGTGGTGGAGCGCTCACTCCTCTACCTGCTGATAACATATCTAATCAATATGAAAGTGGCCATCTGAGATGTCAATTGTCGTTATCTTTACATCCTTTATAATGAACTAACATTACAACTTAAAAGAGAAATAAAAGTGAGAGAATATGCAAACCCTATATTCACCTCAACATCACATGCAAAAGATACAATGCAAAGAAATACAACTGGCACCCTGATATAATGATGGCCTTGATATGCAATCTAGTCAGGCAATCATATCATGAACATAGAAGGTGGCTTAAGGAGATAACGTTGCTCTTTCCTCCTGAGAAATGCCATAAAAAAAGTAAATGGTATAATAATCCAATGAAAAAATACGTGTCAAATTAAAGATAATGATAAAATGCGTTTGCAACTTATTTTATAATGATCAATTATGAAAGCACATTTCAAAAATTCATGATCATCTATATCTTACTAGATGTGTTATTTCTTTTAACTGTAAGTGTCTGTGTGTGCATGCATGTGCTTGGTGCTTCTGCATCTGTCAGCATATATATCTGTGCAAATATATCTTAACAAAAATCAATATCAGTAAGTAAATATTCCTCTATTGCACCCAAATAGCCACCCACCTGCTTTGTTTAGAGTGCTTGTTGGCGTCGTGTCTGTTGAACTGGTTGGAGATCCCTTTTTGCCTATAACAGTCGATGGTTTTTCCGGTCTTGGTGGTTTAGCCTTGAATGAAAAAAGAAGATGAATGAAGAACACATCTTGTACTTTTGACATATGAAGTACTAATGCAACAGAATCCTCAAAGTGCAAACCATATCATATACCAAAATTATTGACATGCTATTCACTACACATATGGATTTATCAAAAAGGAATGTGTGCCTGTGAGAGTGTGTGTTATGGATGACATCTGTTAACTTTATCTAATCTTTCCAGAGATAAGAACATAACTACCACTTTTAGTAAAATTTATAGAATCACCAACAACAAAGACTGCAACAACGCAATAATGCAATCTTTGTCAATTGAGACTGTGATACTATTCTATTGAATGGTGAGAATACTACATAACTTGGGTGATTTTTAGTCACTAAGTAGTTTGAAATAACTTTTTCAAGTTTACAATTGCATAGTTTTTTACTTCATTTCTCACTGGTTCACTCCTTACTATTGATGCTAATGCAACTTCAAATGGTAGTCTTGCCCCACTGCCTTTTACAACTGTTTTAGCAAAAGGACCTGAGGGGTCTATGAACACACAAAGTTTTACAATATTTATCTGTTTATCCCTTGAACATCTTAGTTTTTACTTTAACTTATGGGATAAAAGATTAAATCAATACAATGTAGAGATCCTCATCATAAAAACATCAGTATATATACTAACTTCTTTGGTATTATACATTACATCATCTCTAATATTTGAACCCACTATTTCCTCTCAGGATAACTGTGAAATCTTTTCATCATGGGTTAGTAAGCTAAGTTTGGCTATATAAACTCATGTAAGATTAGGCTTTTTCATTAGATAATCCATAGGGTTAGATATAATTGGGTTATGCTAGGATTATCTTTGGTAAGATTAGAATACAGGTATACAAGAATAATTCTGGTTTAGTGTGTTGGATTAATCTTATTAAGTTCTTTGGCTAGTAGTAAGCTGGTTACATTAAGTATGGATTCTGTGAGAGAATGATAAAAGGTAAGCAATATAAAATCCATTCTCACTCTGGTCATGCTTAAGTAAAGGGGTTCTTCTGTTGAAGAAATTACTATACACCTGAGTCCCACCCAATGCTTTCATCACACCGACACCAAAGCTAGCCATGAAAGGTAGTCAGGAAAGCACTTACCGTTTCTTCTGGGGAAATAAGCTCTACAAAATTATCTGGGAAGACACCAACTTGGCCGTTCAGTTCTCCTCGCCACCAACCCTTATCCTCAAGCTCCTTGCACAAAATAATAATGACGTCTCCTTCTTTCAACTCTAGCTCATCCTCGTGCTCAGCTGTGTAGGGGAACATGACTCGGGCAAGTTCCCGCACTGTTGGGATAGAAAGCATGAAATCAATATAACAAATGAACAAGGAATGAATAAGCAATAATAGATAGCATTTGTATTAGTCTTCTCTCACCTAAATTTAAGCTTCACATACAGCTTCAGGTATTAGTCTTCTCTCACCTAAATTTAAGCTTCACTGTATGTGAGGTAGAAGTGTATCATAATCTTTATGGCATCAACAATACCAATGCATCATAAGTATTAACAGATGTAAAAACTCTATAGGGGGATGGCATGCATGAGTTCATTATAAATCAGAAGTGCTCTTGTCCACAAAATGTAAAGCTGGATGGGATCTTCCACTTCATGTTTATTTCAGTTTATGATTAAAGTGGTGCAGCATAGAAATATGATTACTAATGATTTTGTAACTTCTCTCTGGATATTTAAGAAGATTCCCTTAAAGCAGATAGTTTAGTATATGACCCAAATTATGTTCCCCTTATAGAGCAAATCCTGTTACTAAGACAATGTGATATATGTTTTTCAAATATTCCATTCTGAACTTTTAACGAAGACTAATTTTATCTAACTCTTCCTCTATGAATACAATTTATAATAACTGATAACCCTCTCATTTAGACATTAAATATCTGCCTTCATAAATAAATAAGAATATATGTTAATTAACTTTAATAAGCTAAACTCATCAGAAATTATTTTTGAGGTACATCAGATTTTTAAGAAGTCTTGAGGAGTACTATGAAATTCTAGCAAAGGCACTCCTCGGTGCATTACAATATAGTTTTCCTTTTTTCCTCTTAAAAAAAGTATACAAAATACCCTGCAAAATATTGGATTTTCTATGATTGAAGGCATGATCATATAGAATAGAGCATACCCATCCATTTTACAATTGGTCTTTATAAGCAGTCCATATATTCTCTTATTCTGTTGGGTATAGAGTGTGTACATTGAAGCTGTACTGTATTTTGTGGTTCTCTTTTGCTGATGATAATGACTTCAAAGTGTAGTGCATACAAGTCTATCTATGCCCATATAAAAGGCAAAGGAAAAGCCTTATGGTGGAATGGTGTGTTTAATTATTCTTTGATTCTGTTTCTGTCTAACGTCTTCCTTTTCATACATAGTTCTTAAACAATCTTTTCATCAAATAATTTTATCATCTTCAGTTTAAACAACTATTATAACTGTATTAACCCACTGGAGTTAGGATGGTAAAAATGCATACCATGTCCACTGTGATTTGAATTTAATTAATTGCATTTACACATAGATGGCTCCATAAGTCCTATGTCATTGATCAGCCAATTACTAGTCCTACACTCTCACAAGATTATTCTTTTCCTAGACTTTTGGAAAAAAACATTTTTTCATTCTTCATTGCTATTAGTACTGTTAATCCGATTACTATGAAAGCTTCCACTGCCATACTGAACAGCACGTCAAAGTGCATGCTAAGTCAGCTGCTCAAGAGAAAAATCAGGAATATGGAAAAGATAAACTTCTTTGCTCTTTATGTTTTTGGTTGCTTCATACACAATCTTTAGGTACTGAGGCTAAAGGCTAAAAAGAGCCTACTTTTGAAGGGATATTTCTCCTAAACAAATGATACAAGGGCCAACAAGGAACATGAAAATTTAGCACCATAGGAGGGCAGGCTCATCCTTACGTGATGCCAAGACATCTTCCCGACATGAAGGGTGGTCTACCACGGCGTATTAGGATGTTATCCTGTCCTCAATGGGTTAATAACATTGAAATATAAATCTCAGTAAGAATAATAACATCATCAATACTAATAGCATTAGATGAAAAACATTTCTCTTGAAAGTTCAAGGAAAGGGGGTATCATATAAGGTCATATAGACCTACTAATTGGCTCCTTGCTGGCTGAGCATGTGTCGAGCCATTTACGCACAAACAAGGTTTACAAGACAAAATTACAGTGGACAGTAAATGTTACTGGGTTTCTTTTAAGACTATAATTATTATTATTATTATTATTTATTATTTTTTTTTTTTGTTATTTCTGTGTGGCTAAGAACATGTACCCATTAAACCTTTGTTATAGTGCTATCAGTACACATTAAATTTAAGGAACATAACACCATCATACATTGAAAGAGGCCAATGCTATCAAATGTATATTGTACTACATAAGGGGATTCTATAATACTATAGTCATAAATAAACCACTAGCTTACTATTATTCAATCTTTTGTACAAAAAATATTCATCTTTATTCCCTATCATAGAACTTAATAGATATGTGACACATGACACATCTTTTCCTGATAGGCAGACTGAAAATCTAGCAAAAAAAGGTAGTGGTCAAGAAGAACGTCCATTTACTTTAAAGCTTAGAAGGCTAGTGCTAGAGCAAAGGAAAATACTAAACACAGAGATGCTATAGACCTGACAAAAACACATTTACATATATCAAACCTGAACCAATTTGACATCACCTATATTCTTATACATTCAAATTCAATCTCTTATGAATGCCAGAAGCCAGTTACCCCCCCCCCCCTAAAGGGCAATCTTACATCATAGCAACCTAAACAATATGATCTCATGCCTTACCAGGTTTAGGAGGTAGCTGAGGAGGTGATATCTGTGGTGGTGATGTGCTGGGTAGAGGAAGTCGGTCATCCCTTCTGTTTGCAGTGTCACCCTGTGCGTAAATTAATAAGTTCTATTAATTCAGTTTGAACTAAAATGATACCACCATTAATGTGTATCTTTTATAAAGCAATATTGTCATAAATACTTGTGTAAAGTAAGATAAATAAGATGACAATCTATGAGTATAAGTGAACAAAGAAAATGAAGTAGTTCTGGAAGTAATAATACATCATTCACAAAACAGAAGCAGCACTGAGCAATTTATGTGACTATGTAATTTTAAGCAATTTTCTGATTACCGAGTCTCATCTGTGGGAATCATCAAAAAGATTATGTGTTACCCTCGTCATTCAGGACCACTTCAACAGAGCATGATTTCATCCAAACTCACTTTGCTTTTTTCTTCTCCAATGGTTATCGTGATCCGGTCTTTTTCTATGGAATTGATGCGCTCCTTATCTGCAGAGTTGATCCGTGTTTTATCCACTTTGCTGGTGATTTTATCGCCTTTAGGTTCAAGAGCAGGAGGTAGTCGGTGAGGTAGATCTCTGAAGTCCTTTACTTGACCTGTCAAAAAAACATAAATCAAATGGTGATTCATATATCCATCACTATTAAAAATTAAAAGCAAAACAACATCATCAAACACAAAAATGAAACTTAGGCAAATATGAGTCTTATTCATCCATAAGAGAGCAGTTAACATTCCAAAGTTACCCTGAACACTTCATAATCCTTGGAATCAAAATGCAGATCTCCCAAAAACTAAATATTATTTAAGAGTACCAAAACTTCCAAGGACTTTTTCTAGAACTTCAAAGACTAAATTCCTACCATTTTCTTTTGGGGGTTCTTTGTTCTTGCTGACAGGCTGGAAGGCTGAGGATCCCGAGGACCCTAGGATCTTGGGCGATCCATTGCTGGTGGGTCCGTCAGTGTCCTTCTTTGTCCCTGTGTCCTTCTTGAGGTCAGTTAGCTTGACCCCATACCCCATCCCTTGGATTGGTTTAGGTTTAATCTCTGTGGATAAATGGGAAAATAAATTAAAGAGGAGTTTCTGTGTTTATGGAAGCACTATGACCAAAATATCTCATCTGATTTGTGAGTTAAATTGAATAATGGTAACAAAGATATGAATGAATCACTAATCCTTTTTTATCTTTGGCAAAATCAGTATGTCTGATACTATAATAATTATAGACATTATGCATATATGTCTTCACAGTTTCATTTAAATATAACCAAAATTTAAGCAAAATCCTGAAAATATTTCTTTTTTTCACAACACCAAGTAAAAGCTTGGTACGAAGTGGTACCTTTTTCTTCACCGTTAATGTTGAGCTGATTGTTAATATTTTCAAGGGAGCTTGACTCAGGCTGCTTGGAATCACCTTCACTTTCCTCAAGACTTTCAACAAAATTTGATGGAAACATTCCAACCTGTGTCGAAAGTACAAAATAAATATGATTATAAAAATTACAGGGAACATGGAAAACTGTCAATTTTTCTTAGGCAAACAAACTGTGACTGATAACTTCTAAAAAAGATCCAAATAAAAATCTATTAACTTAGACCTAAAGGAAACAATTAATAAACATTATTTTTTCCTTCCTTATACAACGGATCACTAACCAATATTATAAAACAAATAAACAACAAATTCAATAATGTTCAAAACGTTTCTTGCATCCTCTACCTGTCCGTCTAGCACGCCCTTCCACCAGCCCTCCTCCACCTCTTGCAATACCTCGATCGTCTGGCCAACACAAAGCGGTAACTCGTCGTCGTGTTGTGGTGCATAGCTGAACACTACACGACACCGACGACCACTCATCTCTGCCAAAGGGGATGATGGGTTATCTAGAAACCATCCAATAGAATTATTCAGTTACAGAGGATTCGTGCAAGAACGGTCATATGTACAGCTGTGTGAGGTATGTGAGTCAAGGTAAAACTAATTGGTTAATATTCTTCATTTTAGGTCTATTCCTACACATTTAATCTTTCATGCATGCCCAGCAAGATTCACCAAAAACAGAACTTGCAGAACTTACCTCTTTTTTGTACATTAGTCGTAGTCGTCAAGTTGGTGTCTGTAGAACCATTCTTAGGCTCTTTGGAGAGAACCTGCAAGAGAAAGCAACAATCAGATTTTGTTGATTCCTTTAAAAAAATATAAAAAACTAAACCATGTCATACAAAAGACAACCAGATTACATCTATAACATTCAGATGAACAGATGAATGTACATATCTATCAGGTACGCTGTTATGATAATAATGATAAAACAGCTAATAGTCACTTCATCAACGACAAAATAATAATAATAATGATAATAATAACAATAACTATAAGAAAAATAGTGATGATAGTGATGATGATTAACAACAATAAAGATAACAATAATGGTAATAATAATAATAATAATAATAATAATAACAAATAATGATAATAACAATAATAATAATAATAATAATAATAATAATAATAACAATGATGATGATGATGATCATAATAATAATAATAATAATAATAATAATAATAACAATAACAACAACAACAACCACAAAACAATACTAGCAATAATAGAAATAATGATAATGATATTAATGATGATGATGATAAAGATAACAGTATACTAAAATAATAATAATAGCATCAATGTAATAAAATAATAATAGTAATGGTAAATGATGAAAATAATAATAATAACAATAATATTACTGATCATGACAATAAAAATAACAAGAAGGACACCACTTACAGCATTAATTAAAATAATGGCAACAATAACAATAAAAAACAAGAACAAAAATACTAATAACGATCTCAAAACAAGGTCAATGACAACAACAACAACAACAACAGCAATAACATAAACATGAAAAACAATACCATTATGGAATCATAAAGCGGATATCCTGTAACGTCAGAAATCACACGTAATACAATCCTCGTTGTAAAAATGGGGTTAAGATCTTCACAATTCATAAAAAAAATAAAACGCATTTTGAATAATATCAGGCGAAAATAAGAAAAAAAAAAGAAACACGAAAAAGGAAACAGACAAAATGAAGGAAAGATATAGACTATGTAGAAACTGGTGAGAAAGAAAATAAATATGAGAAAAAAAGAGAAAAAGACGAAAAAAACGAAAGGAATAGACTAATGTTGAGAGAAACAGGTGAGAAAGGAAATGAATATGAAAAAAAAAAAACGAAAGGAAAAAAAAACATAAAAAGAAGGAAAGTGAGAAAGAGAAGATTCAATGTCAGCCTTTTTGCGCATCGCCCTTATTCCCCATCCATTCAGGTATAAAAAAAAAATCAATATAACATCGAAACATAATAAATTCACAAGGAAGAGGATCCAGCACGCATCCTAGAGGTTCTGATCGGCTTCAAGTGGAATCCGCATTCTCACCCCAAGGCCTGCGGGTACCGTTTCCACTCCCTGCAACGGCCACCTCACTACACCGGCCATGTATAAGGATATTTCGTGTTTTGGAGCTCCACGAAGGAATAAAAGAAAGAGAGAGAGCGAACGAAACAGAGACAAAACCGAGTCTCGATGTGACTTGGCACTTTTTTTTTTTAAACCGAGATTCGCACGCCATGGTAAACTTTCCCGCGCTGAGAGTCCTCGATGCTCAATCAGCTATTTTCTTTCTGAACTGCTGAATGTGTAGAGAAAAAATGTTCTGATTCACCAACATTCCTTCCCGGGCATTCCTTTAACTCGTTTTCGACCAACGGGAATCAACATCAACATCACACGTTGAAAATAAACAAACACAAACACCCTGAATCGAAATAAAACGAAACACAGCGTCTTCATTTTTATCCTTACGCAAAATGGGTATCTGTAGGCCATTCATGCCCTTTTTAACATAATATTCCAGACACAAGATCACGAGAGCAGTGTAGTGGATACAACAGGATTCATCATATCACTGGCTGTGAGTCACCACCACACCCGCGAGTACAGGTGTTTAGGGCACATGTGGACCTACACCTGTACACCCACTTTACTCTCACTAGGTCTTTGGATGTTCAACTTGTCCCCCTTTACAAACCGAGAGAAGAAAATAATAAGAAAATTGCCCCCCCTCTTTGATAAGCGTACCCCCCCCCCTCTCTTTGAGGTATGTGAACAAATCCCACTCAACTCCGACGGGAACGAACGTACAAATCGTCCCCACAGTTTTAAAAAATTATATATATATTCCCCAGACGAAACAGGCGCCGTAAATCCCGAACAGACACACACGGCCGACACTCCGAGGCAAATGAAGTGGTTTGAAACGGCCAGCGAACCCTCAAGCGAATGTTCACTTAACTTCGGCGTGCAGTATTTCACCATCCCCCACCCACTCGCGCCCATCTCCCGCCGAGCTCCTTCTCTGTCGCCTTCCCTCTCCGCTCCTTTCTTCTCCGCTTCCCTCTCTTTCTTTCTGCTGCCTTTACTGATTCTATCTTCCTTGTTTTCTTTTTCTTCTTTTTCTCCTTATTATTACTATTATTATTGCTCATCTTCTATTACTTCTAACTACTAACTTCTACTACTTCTTGATTCTACTAATACTATTTACTATTTCTACGTCTTCCTCTGCATTTTCTCTCCACCTCTTAATCTTCCTATTCATCTTTCCTTTTCTCTCTTTCTCCGTCTGTCTGCCTCTCTCCCCTTCCCTCCCTCCACCCTTCCCCCCTCTCTCCCTTCCCTCCCTTCTCCTCTCCCTCCCCCTCTCCCTCTCTCCCTCTTCCCTCCCTCTCCCCTCTCCCCTCCTCTCTCCCTCTCCTCCCTGCTCATGCTTGTCTAGCAATCTCGCTGACCTGCCTTCGATCCTGCGCGCTGCCAGTGGATGGTAACCCCGGCCATCCCTTGCACAAAGGGGGTGGTTTAGAGGCAAATAAAACAGATAGCATGTCGCAGCAAAGAATACCCATTGTAACAAATGGAATTAAAACTAAATCTAAATCTAATCCAAACCTCTCTCTCTCCCTCACTCCCTCTCTCTCTTCTTTCCCTTCCCTCTCTCTCTCTGTCTCTCTGTCTCCCTCCCTCTCTCTCTGTCTCCTCCCTCTCCCTCTCAAACCTCGACCTCAAGTGGAAAAATCTGGAGGCCAAACCCGCCCAGACTGTCATTCCTTGTGGCGTCCCGACGATCGCGCTCTCGAGGCTACCCCCCCCCCCCCGCAAAAAAAAAAAAAAAAAATCGCCGCGCCGTCCGTTTATTTGCGAAATCGGACGCCCGGCGCCAAGTGCTTGGGCGCGCCACCTGCAGGACTCGCGGGAACGCCGTTTAGGTATTACCCGACGGGGTTGCCAGGACTCCGGCATCGCCGATCGGGCGACTCGCCAGAGGCAGAGGAGGAGGAGGATGGATAATGATATGATGAGATTGGATAGAATGGATGGAGATGGGGATGGAATTGGATAGAATGGATAATTGGATGGATGAATGGATATAAATGATGAATAAGATAGATGATCGGATGGATGGAAGAGGAAGGAAGGTAGATGGATAGATAGATGGATGAATGGATGGAGGGACGGACGGTCCTGAACGTCCTTAGCAAAGACTATATCACATCAGTCTTCGGTCCAGACCCTAAGCAAAGCTCTTCAGGGTCGGGACACGGCGCTCCCCCGCACGGACGTTGCCCAAGACTGTCATTAAGCCCGCGAGGTGTCTGTTAGGTCATCCGCCGAGGCGCGACGGGCGGCCTCTCGAAAGGGGGTGCGGCGGGCGGCGTCCGTGATCGCCGTTTCGGTACAACCACGCCCGCCTGCGCCTATCCATGTACGTAGACAGCAACGCTTGATCCGAGACCTCCGACGGGGCCCCGGGCGCTCCATCTGGCCGACCCCTAGCCTCTCTTGCCCGGCTGACCTTAACTTCCGCGTGTTGCTCGCGCGTTGCTGTGCCTCACTACCCGACATCCCGCGCCTTTGCGGATCGCTTGAAGCGCCGGCGGTAGGCTAGACGGCCCTCGGGTACTCGCTGCCCTCGGCCCTGGGCTGGCGGTTTACGCCGCCTCTGACTCCTGGCCGATGGAGGGTGCGGGCCTTGCTGGGCTCGCGCTACCGGTCGACTCTGGCTGAAGTGCTGACATCGATAGTGACCGGCCCATTCGGCGGCTTGGTCAGTTCTGCTTTCTTTGGCTTCGTGTGTTTATATTTTGCTCGTATATTTTCTTATATTCTTTGCCTTTATCATTCTCCTACTCCACCATTTTTCTGCCTATCGATTTTTTTCCGTTTATTCAATTTTTTCCATGCTGTGTTGTGTGGGCTGTTGTGGGTGTGTGTTTTTGTGTGTGTGCCTGTGTGTTGTGTAGTGTGTGTGTGTGTGTGTGTGTGTGTGATGTTGTGTGTGTGTGTGTGTCGTTGATTTCTTCGCTGTGTCTGCTGTGAGCGTCGTGTGATCGATATATGGAGCTAATTGGTTGGTTTCTCTTCATATGACACAATTTAAGATATATCACAAGGTAGATTTCTAAGAGCGAGAATCGTGGATCAACACTTGAAAGAACAAATGATGAGAGGGAAACATTCCACATCGCTCTCATCTACTTGTTTATTTCTTTCTTTCTTTGCTAACTGCCTTTTTACTAGTAATATAACGATATCTTCTTGAAGACCCTCATAGTAACGGAATCGTTTCGGACGGTACCCATAACGTTACGATTACTTAGGTCAGTTCTTCGATGCAGCTTAGATACCGCACCCGCGGATATAAACCGCAGTCAACATTCACCTGCGGGCAAGGGAGGGGGGGGAGTGGATTGGTTACCATCATCCGTGTTGCTGTGATTTCGCGAGTTACACTGGTCTCTCCTCTCAATCCTTCTCTCATTCTCTCTCTCTCTCTCTCTCATACTCTCTCTCTCTCTCTCTCTCTCTCTCATCTCTCATCACACCGACGTGCAACACACCACACAATGATCGCGCGCACAATACACACTAGAGCACAAACATTTGTACGAACAATCATAAAATTCTTTCTCGTTCAATTTAAGTGCCGATAATAATTATTGTCGGAAATATTATTTTGATATATTTGCATTCGGCACGCTGCGAATATGTCATCGCTTGAATTAATGGGGCCTCTCTCGAGGCG